ACATGATTTTCTTTGCTGCCTTCTGTCTCCTCAGGATTTTCCTGGGTGCTGGCCCCGCATGTTCCAACCTGGCCCGGGTCTTGGAACCTGGGAGGTGCTCCATCCATGGTGCCAGCTGCTCCTGTCCCATGGTCCCAGGGCTGTAAAGGACACATTCACAAGGGACACAGACCCAGCAGCTCTTTTCAAAACGACAGTGGGGAAACCAAGGGCCCCCCACATCCAGGTCCGTCGGGAGCTGGGGCATGGTAGTCCATGCGATGAATCTCCAGGAATGGTGAGGTCCTCCCTGAACCAGGGCTGGGCTGGGCACACCCTGAATGCCCCAAGAGTAGATGTTTTCACAGACAGCCCCCCAGAAAAGGGTGTGAAAGGATGAGGCGCCCATGGCGGGGGAGCTGACCAAATGGGCTGCTGGAACCGGGTTGCTGAGCCCAGAGGGGGCTGACCGTCCCCCTTGCAGAGGGTCTTCCTGCCAGGTGAAGCCAGCACCGGCCTGCGTGCCGAGGACCCTTGCGCGGGTTTGGCTGAAAGGAAGACAGACGTGGTCAGCGTCTCCAGTGAGCCCATGCAGGCCTTTCTGGGCCGGGACCCAACTGCCTGGGTCTCTGCAGTCCTTGGGGGCCTTGTGTGGCCCCTGTGGTCTGACACTGAGGACATGCCTGTAGTCTGCTGAATCCAGAGGGAGGGGAGTGTGCCACCTGGGGTGAGGAGGCCGTCGGGGCATGGCAGGTGGCTCCTGGGACTGACCCCCAGGGTTCAGGCTGACTGGGGGCTTCCAGCCACACACCCTCCTCCCAGGGCTGTTGGGCCTGGGCTACAGCCCCCAGGCAGAACTCAGGTGTGAGGGGCCTTGGCTGTCACCCAGCCCCCTTGCCACCTCCCATGAGAACCTGTCTCCAAAGTGGGTGATTGGGCCTGGACGTGGGTCACCCTCTGCTCTCCTGNGGCCTTGGCCCTGGGGAGGAGGGGTGGGAGCATCCCCTGGAGCCTGGCTGGAGGTGCTCCTGGAGGCCTCCTGGGCCAGGGTGTGGGAAAAGCAAGGCCCCGACAGAGGGTGGCCAGAACAGGGTGGGTGCTGGGGTTCCTGGTCATCTCCTGGAAGTGGTGTCGGTCTAGAGGACATGGCTGGGGAGATGCTGCCATCTGGGCTCAGTAGGCCCATTCATGGTCACCAAGGGCAGCTGGAGCCCAGGCAGCTGAAGGGCAGGAGGAGTCTCAGGGAGGGCAGGGTCAGCAACACAGAATCAGAGCTGGAGGGTGTGGCTCCAGGACACAAAGGGCGGCCACGGGGAGGATGAGATGTCCTCTGCTGATGGGGATAACAGGTGTCTGACTTGGGCTCTAGGGGTCAGCCCCAGGCTCCTGTGGGACCCTCAGCAGAGACATCCTAAAGACTCCCAACAAGCTGGCGATACAAGGAAGGTGCCTTCGCTCAAAGTCGAGATTACCTGGTCCGGGTGGCTGTCCCCAGATCTGGCTGCATGAGGCCCCAGGGGCACCTGTCCACCTACCCTGTGGGGAGTGCCTCTCACTGGCCAGCAGCTACGCCAGTTCCCAGAATGCGTCATCCTCAGGAGCAAGGTGGTGACTTGTCTCAGGTCGCTGCAATAGCCCACCTCCTGCCAGAACCAGAGTCACCATGTAAGGACAGCACCTGGAAGGGCTGAGGTCACCTGGGAGTACTTATGTCATTGGAGAGGGCAGAGGTGACTAGGGAGGCTTCCTCTGAAGAATACACTTCCTCAGGATGCAAATTCACTTCATGACAAGAGCCAGGTCCATGGACACTTCAGCAACTTGTCCAAAAGCTCTGCTGAGAGCACCGTCCTGTGTGTCACCCGCCAAGCTCCTGTGCTTTGGGGCAGCCCCAAAAGGAGGACGTCATTTCCTGTTCAGAGAACTGGTGGCCAGGCCCAGGTGCCACTAGAAGTCAGGGGCGTGTCTCCTTAGTGTCTCAGTTTGAGACCCCTTGAGACCACCCCCCTTACTTGGAGGTTTATGCCAGCGGTGAGCTGGAGTTCTACCTACTATATCCTGATGGGTCACTCACAAATATTGACTTTGAAAGAAGCAATGACACCCCTGCCAGACACCCATGCCCTTGAATATGAAAACAGGGGCTGGGAATGTCACTACCCAGGAATACTCACTGGGTTATACTCTGAATATGCCACGAAGATGTAGAATAGTTCCCGCTGCCTAGGAAACAGAGAAAAGGGGCTTTTGTTTCTTTTGTGCAGATGCTGTTAGTTTCATTTTGTCTACAAATCCCATTTCAGGTTCAGATGATTCATCAGATAAGCAGTAAGCTCTTCAGGGCCTTTGACTGTTTAAAATATGTTTCAGTAAAATCCACGTCTGCGACATACAAATATTCCAGTTGTATAGTGTGTTGATTGATCATTTTCACTCTGAATGATTTTTTTTTTCAGTTGGCACACACGACAGTTCAGTCTTTGGGTGTACAGTTTCTCCACGGTTCTAAACCAATGTGCAGAGTCTCCCAACCACCGCTCCAGCCCCTCCTGGAGCGAGTCCTTCATCCTCCAAGTCTCCAGGGTGGCCCCTATGCAGCCCGCCTCTCCCTGATCCATCAGCCCCTGGCCACCCAAACCAGTTCTCAGACACTATGCTTTCGCCTTTTCCAGAATGGCCTATGAATCAGAATCCTACAGTGGTAGCTTGTTGGGTCTGGCTTCTTTCCCTTAGCAAAATGGATATAGGACCACCCTCGTTCCTGCTGGCATCACTGGCTCTTTCCCTTTTCTCACTGAGTCTTCTTGCGTTTGAAGGGAAGACCAGCTGTCGTCTTCCCATTCCAGTGCTGAAGGTCATCCCCGAAGGCTCCGTGTGTGAGTGCAGATGAATGAAGCAGTGAATGTGGCATGCAGGTTTCATGTGGACGTCGGTTTCCAAGTCATTGGGTTCAATATCTGTGACACTTAGAGGATGTGTGGTTCAAGTCCACTGGGCTTTGTGAGCCACTTCCCAACTGGCTGCCAAACTGGCTGTGCCATGTCACATTCCCATCAGACCTGGATGAGAGTTTCCAGGACCCCAAATCCCCTTAGAATTTGGTGCTTTTAGTTTTGCCTGGGGAGGCTCTCAGGCCCTCCATCCTACTGCAATCCCTTGGGTCCTACCAGGGGTCCCCACGGGTCAGGGAGAGCACTTTTCCCCATTGTACATGATTTTCTTTGCTGCCTTCTGTCTCCTCAGGATTTTCCTGGGTTCTGGCCCCGCATGTTCC